CGTGGACCGCAAAGGCGAAGCGAGTCGACATTTTCCGCGGCTTTTACATTTTTTCTCCTTTTGCAACAGATGTATCTAAAGCTCAAAACTTCCCCTGCTCGCAGATATTTCTCTGTGCAAGTCGATCCCGCGAGAATTAAATATATTTCAAAGTGCCATTAATAAACTTTTCTTAAAACGAATCACGTGTAATATTATTTTACAGATACTTCGTTGAATTCAATTATGTACTTGTCGCGCAATATTTTATTTACTCGCGTTATTGCCGTCGGCCGTTCATTTTCGCGACCTGAAAAATCTTCCTCCGTTCGTACGGCGCATTTCCTCATTTCGCAACACAATTTTTCCCCGCCAGAACGGTCACCCATCGAATTACTCAACAGACACAGGAGGCACTAAACGTTGGCGGAAAGAAGACCCAGAAGGGTGGTACAGGGTAGATTTCGAACGGTCAGTGTTTATAGAACAGACAGACACGGAGGGCTCCAGGAGACTATTCATCAATGTCGAAACACGCACATATATGTGTGTGCGTATATCCGTATATGTAGGCAAGGATACAGCCTCATCCTTCTCCATGCTGCCCACACACGTACGCACGCCTACGTTACGCCCACGCGAACGGGACACCGTCCTGGAATCCGCCAACGCGGTTAGGAAATAGGTGAACATTGGCGGTGCTTCATGAATCTCTAAAACAATCTTCGGACGCTCTCAATGCAGGGTGTCGATGTGAGCTCGAGATAACGAACGTCATCAGTTCTTGGGAAACCTACCTTCCGGAATCACGGCCAAATATCTATTTCGACAACGCGAACGTGCCTCTAGCTTCCGCCGGACATCTCATTGTAATCCACGAGCACAAAGGGAATGAAATTAAAGATTTTCACGACAGTTTAACTTAATATCAATCTTTGGTAAAATATATATTTTTTACCAAACATTCGGTAACAGATTCCCATTGTCATTTCTTCAGTCCCTTAGTTTTTATATACGTATATCTATAAAAACATTTCCAATTTTGAAAAAGAAGGGACCCGGGCCATTACCTATAACGCATTATTGCTCGAACGAAGATCGAGGAAAGACAGACAGACAGACAGACAATGCGATGTAACGCGGGATCTGCTTTGACCTTTCGCGGCGCGGAGGAAACTCGAGAGATATGATGGGGATGTGGAAAGAGAGACCTAATGTTTGAAGAGTATACGCACCGATCATCAATCATATATGAGAACCTCGTGAACAGGTTTACGGTTGTATGCACTAACGAAAATTTACCTCATATTAGTAAAGCAGTTACAATAATTTACCGACAGTAATTAATGTTGTGCGTTGATTGCACTTGAAAGACTCACTTGCATCTTCGACATACTTCAATAAACAAGGAGAAACATGAAACTATGATGCATTCAACATACCATTGCTTACAAATATTCTAATAGCGTCTGCTTTAATTCGTGGAAACTATAAATATCATAAATTTTTAACATAAAATGAAAACGACGTATTTAGAAGTAGATCAATGGCACATATTTATTCTACATTTTTCCTTCCTTTCCGCATGAAAAAATGCTGTCAAATTAAAAAATGAATCAAACAAACGAGAGCGCTTTTAGGTTCGAGCAAGAGTAGTCCAATAATTGTAATCTAAAATGTGTTATATCGTTTTACCGTTTCCCACCTTGTCTTACGCACCGGTTTCTTTTCGGACATAACACAGTTTCTTAACAAACACAGGTAACTAAATGTAGCATTTAAAATAATTAGAAATCGTTTATCGATTTTAATATGTGAATTTACTGACAACAATGATTCCATCTAAATGAAACTGTGTTATGTGCAAAAAGAAACCGGCGCGCAGGACAAGGTTGAAAACAGTATATGAATTCACATTTTAGATTACAATTATTGGGCTACATCTTGCTCAAACCTAAAGGCGCTCTTGCTTGCTTGATTTATATCATAATGGCCACATGTAACTTTATTTTTAAAAATGAAGTTGCTTGAATTAAACGTTAACGTCACAGGCGGCCACAAACATAAATAATTCACTCAATTGTGTTTGCTATGGATTTTAATTTTGAGCATTGAACTAAATGTCCAGATTATTAAGGCCCGGTTGCACCAACGTCACGTAATTTTAACTGTGGCTTAATTCACTCTTCGTCTTCTTCTAACTGTGTTTCCCTTAAAAAGAGACAAAGAATGAATTTAGCTGAAGTTAAAGTTAAGCGACATTGATGCAATCAGGCAGACAACTAATGTTTTTCGTTCATTAATATTGATGTTGTTTCAACGATTTTATTTCAATATGCTGATATTGTTGATACAACTTTTTTTTCCGCGCGTGAAATTTTTATAGAGTTTTATATTAAATCTCGCAAATGGGAAGCGTTTTCTGCGTGGAGAGAATTTCATCGACTTTCGGCAAATAGAATGACCCGCAAATAACGAGTTTGTGTTTTGTTGCACATGCTGCATACCTACGGCAAATAGATTACCGTGACATTAGTTTCGAGGACTCTTACGTTCCATAGAGCAGGAAATCGCACCTTCGTCGACGTTCGGATTACGCCGCCCAAACGAGTCCGATCGTTTACAGAGATTGACTACTGGCGCTACACCGGGCGAAATAACATTGACGGTAACAAAAACAGACAGTGATAGATGACGCAAACGCCCGATAACGCTGTACAGTTTATCCAGTGTATTTCTTCCAGCCAACGAAATGCAAATGACACCGATAATTAACGTGTTCATTATGCAAATTGGTATTTTCAAAAACAACCAAAACTAAACTTGTGCAGCAGTGGCACCAATCAGATTCCGTTTGCGTTCGATTTTACTTGAAAAGCATATATAATGCGCGTCATGCTTTTTTTTTCTCTCATAATTCGATTTTAAACGCATCTCTGGGCATGTGCGGATTGAAGTGACGTGGAAATGTTCCGCTAATGATCAGCCAACGTGATTGCGCTAGTCTTCTCTCTCCATCCAGGGCTTAGTCGAGATTTATCAGGGAGCACGTCGATCCGTTCAGACCCACCTAATTTCCTTAGAGCTTAAATCTTCGGAGAACGGAAATAGTTTATCGCTGGGAACCGTCCGACGCGTCTCTGCTTTCTAATTTACACGGAAACCTGCCCGATCGTTCGCGGAGATTGACTACTGGCAGAATTAAAAATCGTGCCTCGTATCGCGCCGAACAATATTATATAAAAAAAACAATAACAACAGACGACAATACGAAAACATCGCGCGTTGTCACGTAGTAACATGCGCTGTTGTAAAATATTTTACACAAAAGATACAGATCGTTATTCCTACAGCCAGAAGCGCGGCGGTGATTTAAGCCTGTGTATGCACATTAATTCAAGTTAATCGAGCGCGCTCAGTATTAAGCGTTTAACGTGTCGATTCTGGCAGTCTACGCTAATTTCCTTGGGGGCCCTTACTATACGGGGACACGGCGGAAGAGGAAGAATTTGTCGGTCGGGGGCGCTTACCTAAATTACCAGGGAGTACTCGCGGGAGAATATTCTCCGTGTCAAGGCGCTTTAGCCCACCATTAGGCTGTTAATGTCCGTGACACGCGCAGAATTAGCACCCCAATGGCGAATTATACGGGATTTATAACGGGAGCAGTGTGTAATGGATGGTCTAACATTTCAGGCCAGACTGTTTGCCATTAAACAAAAGTGACGTCCGCATGGAAAATGTGACGTTATTAAGACAGTAGAATGAAATGCTGTTGTTCTTGCAAAATAGTTGTGGCGCAATGCTTGAAGGTTCTTCTAATAGATTGATACAGAAAACACGATCTTCGTCATTTCGCACAGAGAAATCGACGAGCTAGGCCGATATTGAAGCAATTGGAAGCGCAGATCGGGACGGTCGTAGGTCGAGGAAAACGCGATTACGAGTTTGCAGAAAATGCGATTTGCAGGGGAAGAAGAGGTCGAATTCACTCGCGGTTTCCTCAATCTTTTTCGACCTCGACGTGATTTCCCTTCAATTATGTTTCAAACAATTATTGAAAATCGCATTTCAGGAATGCAGCTCGACAGCGAACATTGACAAGAAGTACGTACGCGATAAGAAACGATTCGAATTGGCGAAGGCGCGCGATCGCGGTAAATAAACCGAAGCAATTTCCGGAAAATCCTACTGTCGAGTGGGTCCCCACGTGCACACCTGCGACCAACTTCCGTCTGCCGTTCCGCAGGCTATAACTAGCCGAAGAATTAATTATAGCCCTAATCCTTCTCCGTAGGTGGTTTAGCGCGTGTATGTGGCTTCCAGCGACAAATTGTAATCATACAATATATTACAGCCATGCCTGTGAGTCAAATCGTGCCAGACTAGCGTCTACTAAAGAAGCAAAATGTTTCTATAATTATGGCTACTGTATAGTTTATACAATTAAAATAAATAAAGAGACTTTTGCAAAGCTGTCATTGCAGGATGTCCGACAGACTTCGTTTCTTTACGTCGTATCATATAGAGATGTTTTTTTCCGATTAAATTATGGATACATCCGATGAAATTTATCCGATGAAATGCAGTTGCCGATGAAATTTGATTAAAAAACCGATCACAATGTTCATCGGATATACAATTTAATCGGATATATCCGTTTGTTATTATGTAATTGGATTATCCGATTATAGTTAATGTGTACAGAACTAGATTTTCATATTTTGGAAAGTACCTCACGAATGAAAACGTCAATATACAATTTTATATTTAAATGTAACTCGTGCCTTTCAGAAAATTTAATGGGACTGCATTATTAATAAATTGAATGCATTATTAACAATTCCATTGCTCTCCGCGAATTATTTGTAAGTCAAAGAAAGTATGATGAATCGCGCGATCACTTTTTGGCGAGGCACTTTCAGCAGCCATTCTCTAATTTTTTACCGCGTATACCGAGTAGAAATAAGTTGGCGTGGTTCTGACGACAACCTTACATTTGCCATTAATATTTGTTTTAGATGGAGGCGTGGTGGGTGGTTCGAGAGCAGGACCAGTGGTGACTCCGCATACGCTGGAACTGACACCACGTGGTAGGGTTTTGCTGCGGCTCGCACCGCCGGAAACTGCTCGGGCGTACCTGCCGCCAGAGTATCGACCCGGCCGCGTATATTCGGACACGGATTCGGAAAAAGTACGTCACATTCAGCACAGTACTTAATGACGCGCCATTAATTCAATAACGAATTGCGCTCTGATCGACGCCCGTCACGCGAGAGACCGTAAAGTAGGCGTTTCGATGTTTGTTACACACTAGCTACTCTTATGTAACGCTAATTCTAAATCACAACTGAAATTTTAAACGACGTATCTCGTATTAATGTCCCTTGCTTTTTTAACGAATTCTCCTCTCTCTCCCCAACCGGTCCACCTACGGTGCGTATTATTGTCCGGATTTATGAAATGTTTAAACGAGCTTTCGAGTGTTCAATCACGATAACGCGATATTATACTGACAAAGGTAAACACCCGAAACAGAGTTGAATTATTGTGCGTCGCGAAATAGATACGGGGATCAAGAAGCGGTGTGAACAAAACACGTTTATCAGGAACATCTCCATTTCTCCGATCGTTCAATTATGCACGCGAACACGTGCATAAATGATAGTGGTATTTACGGAAGGGCGAGGCCGATGGTATAATTAAAAGAGCATCGCGCGCGGAGAATTATTAACGTATCCTATTAAAATCCTTTCAGCGCGAAGAGGATTAAGCCGGTATAGTCGTCCTTTGACGGCTCGACGACTTTTTATTTGCTCGACTTCCGCGTTTCAGCGCCGGGTGAATTTTTAACGGGGCCGCCGCCGCCGCCGCCGCGCAAGGCCGACCGTTCTTCGAAGAACTCGAAGAACGAAGGGAGATGCAACAGAGACGGAAGCCGGTTTTTGTGTACTTTTAGTAAAATCCTAGCTATTTCTATGGTCCCTCTCACATTTTTTCAAGCACGTCCGTCGGATTTTCTCACTCTCTCCAACACCCTCCACCCCCGGCCGCGATCCCTTTCGCGCTCCCCTTTAGCGCCATCCTTTCTTCTCGTTGACGGCCGGACGGAGCCTCGTTGTTTCAACACAGACCGGTATTTATCTCTGGCAGATTAAAGGCAGAACAAACGACGCGCGCGATAAATAAAGTTTGGCGTATCGTTCTTTTATATCGCCAATTCCAAAGCCTCTCTTTGTCTCACCCCCCCGAAGATAAGTCCTCGCAGAGCGCGCAATCTTGATGCTCCCTGGCTGCATCGGTATCGCTTATAGTCAAACACGCAAAAGAGGGGTGTTCATACGTAATTTACGTTTGCGCAAAGAACGTACGCAACTGTTCATATACCGTAGAAATAAAACCCCCGATGTTTACGATGATGAGTATAATGCTGACAAAGAATGTTGCGAGAAAAATAAATAAAACTGTGGTGAGAGAAAAGAACAAAAAGTAAGAGATACGCTTTTACGAGTCAACATTTAACAGTTAGAGGTATCCGCGTTGTGAAAAATCGTGAAAAACTTAGATAGCTTCCGCTATACAAACATACCAACGTGCGTTTATCGATGTGCGTTCTTCAAAAAGAAATAACACGATGGAAGTTTGTTTATTGATGGAAGCAACGTGAATAAAATCAAAACTGAAGAGGAGCAGTTCAATACCAAAAAGATCGTTAACGTCCGCGTTTTACGTTTCATTACTCTGGAAAAATTCACGATTTGAAAATAGCAATAAAAAAATAATCTAAGTTTGAACAAGAAATATTTCTCCTTTCTCGCGGAATAACGATACAAGTCAATATTAATTATCTCGAAACCACGGTATCGATTAATAAATGCAAAAGTTCTTTCAATCAAATTCGTTAGGATCTAATATTTCAATCTATTTTCTCTCTCTGTCTGTATCGTAAACCAACATCAAGATGTAATATTCAGTTTCAATCAAATAAAATACTGATGCAACTCCATTAACGATACTCTAAAGCGTATTGAAAAATAATCTCCAATTCGTAGTAATAGGATTTTAGCGAGGGAAAAAATAGAGAATTTTACGCGGCAAAAAATAAGATAAATTTTATTGCAGCTTTAAGTTAGAAATAAGTATTGTTTCGTTAGTAATTTAATATTATTCCTTGAACATGAAGACGATAATGAAAGACTTCTACAGTTATGAAGCGATTATTTCAATATCGTGATCAAAAAGTACGAAAGGAAATGTCTTTTTCTTACAAGCTTTGTCTCTAACATAAAACAGAGAAAAAAATGAACGATAGTGATTTGTAGATTTATACCTTCCTGTAATCTCCGTTCCTGTAATCTGATTCTACTTGACTTTAAATCGTGTATGTTATTTTATAGTCTACAATGCTAACGACAATGTAAATTGTAAAACGTTAATAAAAAATTTAGAATCACAACTAAAGACAATTGCATATCTTGTACAATTTTATTACACACAACTAAACATGTGCATATTACTTTTTATGTTCTGTATAGCCTTTTATGTTATTTTCAAAAGTATTTCTATCAAAATTTGTCGAAGAATTAGTCTTCAAAAATATTTCTCGCTTGAGTTATTCTTTTAATCTGAAACGTCCTAAATTCATCACTGATAACACAATACCATGCACCTTGGCATTCACGTCACGACTCCACTTTTCCGGAGAACATGAAACTCTCGCCGGTGATGGTTGCAACACCACGGTATACAACGACGATTACCTGGGCGACGTAAAGCTGGCGCGAAAAAGCACTCGCCTTTCCGGCGGTTGTCGCTCTTACATTTTTCACTGCGTGACATAGTGCACAAGCGAGTTGTTAGAATGATCTCTGTGACACGGTGAGAGCACAAGTGCTCCGGTTGTACCTGCAACATCGTTGATTTCCTTCCGCGTAAATAAATGAGGAAGCCATGAAGTCACTGTATCAAAAAGATTCGCAAAGATTCTGGCCCTTCTGATGTTTAACTTTTAATGTTGACAAATAAACGTGAGCCGCTACACGAAATAAAATGCACCGGCAAAAGTAATTAAAACTGACGGAAGAAATTATTTATACTGACGCTGTGCTATTTATTCTCTTTTTTTTTTTCAAGCAACGAAAGCATCGAATAACATCGATGCTTATTTTTCAAGTATCGAAGGGATGAAGTCCACGTAGAATCTATATAGTCTACGATATTTTCTAGTGCTATCGATGAAAATATCGGACAACATTGTTTTTTTTCAGCAAATAAAAATATCGATAACTAATACTTCCTCGAATCTATATGATCTTCCTAGGCATGTTTAGATGCATGTACGTACGGGTATATGCTCCCCCGCGGGAATAAGAAAAATTCGATTACTTCATCCTCTTTAGATAGAAGCAGTCTCAGCTTACGAAATTGATGTATTCGTCGATATGCACAGTTTACCCGATATAAAAATTGTTCCTGAGAACGCCGTACCTTTTCTCCAGATCGTTCTCTTATTTATCAGTATAACGTTATTGACATTACTGACAGTAAGAAATATTTCAAAATTTATCGCGAGCTTTCTCTACATTTGATGTTTGCGTAATCATTCTTTTGTTTATAAATTCAACAATATAAATCTTTGTACAGAGCAACGTAGAGCATTTTGAAAATTTGTGGCAAATTTAAAATTCAGTAGGAATATGTTTAACTATATAACGTTGCTAAATATCTTATCTACTTGTAGAGTATTTTAAGTTGTCTTACTTATGTTAAAAGAGAATTTATAGACAAGATATGTGTAAAACTTTCTATGTCTAATTATAATCTGAAAATTCCCAGTAAAGGAATTATGTGTTATATATATTTAATGCTATTGTATTTTTTAAATCGACGTAACATACTTCTATATTAATTATACTTAGGCCCGGTTGCACCAACGCCGCTTAACTTTAACCTTAGCTTAATTCACTCTTTGTCTCTTTCTAAAGGAAACGGAAAGAGACGAAAAGAGAATTAAGTTAAAGTTGCGTGACGTTGGTGCAACCGAGCCTTAATGTTTAAAAAATACGCTCAATAAAATCTAATCTTATTTTTTTCAGATGTGGATGTATTCATTAGGCAGGGCATTATTAGATACGACTCCGGTCGCATTAACGGGAACCGCTTCCGTTTCGCCCCCTTCTGCTTTGCAATCAGTGTTGGCCGCCATGACGGAGCCTGATCCTCGCAGACGTGCTTCCTTGATGTATTTGCTTGACGTAAGTTCTTAAGTTTTAATGAAATTCTTCCATCCACATCTCCATCCTGAAAGTCTCTTTTACCCCCGTTGCGTTTTCGTCAATCTCCGCCAATTTCCTTAGGATTTATTAATTTATTAATATATTATGCACGAATATGCTTAATGCATTTCGCTCTTCAAACGAGACTGTTACACGTTATTCGTTCATCATCAAGATGAACACTTGCGTGCACGTACACAAGCTTTGCGTTACATAATTGGCGAGCATTGTGCGGAGCATTGTAGGATCTGTTAATAAAAGGAGACTACCGATTTTGCCGCGGGGTCAGATAGCTCGAAATTCCAAGGTTCGTTGTGTGCGCACTATCGACGGTTCAAAATAAATCAGCGAGTATCGCTTAGAGTGACTCTTCAGTGTTCGATATTTCACTCTGCCGTAACAACGCGTCATTTTCACGTATCTTTCTCAAAACAGTTTTCGATTCTCGTGTTTCATCATTCTGCTGGTTGTTCAACATGTCTGGAGTCAGATAAACGTACCGTTCGATATCAAAGCGATGCAGACGATATTCAGAAATATACATTTTTGCCTCTGTTATTTTCCATTTTTCTGTATTTTTCTATTTTATATATATTCTTCTATATATCTTATTTTTCGAAAATATTTTTCTCACTATAAAAACTCAGACATTTGCATTGACAATTGCAAAAAATACACTTTACAAACAATATAATACATTTCAAATAAGTGGTAAGAGTTCATGTAGCTGTGTTAAATTGGATGTCCTAAAGAAAAGTCCCCTATTGTGAGATAGGATTCTAATAGGAGATAGGTTTTCAACGTCCAAATTCAATCGCAAATCTTTTTTCGCAACGATTACACGATCTAACAATCAATTTTCCACTAAACAGAATGCACTACAAGGGCAATAAATTCATGGTGGAACCAACAGATGACGCCTATTAATTTAGCAGAAACTCCGCTATCTCATATTAGAAGCCTGTCCCATAATAAGAGACTTTACTCATCAAAGAAGTCGTGACTACAGATGATCACGGATCATAGAAACATTAATTAGTGTATATCGCTGCTACTTGGATCCCGACAACCCGCGGATTAACAATATTTAATCCCAATAGCGTGTACAGCAGCGCAAAGCAAAATTAATTTCCACATCACGATTACGAATGGTGAGTAATTCAACGTCGCGAACGTATCCGTGCGAGCAGCTGCGTCGGACTGGAATTGGGCACAAACACACGAGGAATGCATAGCGCGCACCAAGAAAGGCCAGGTCGTCTCTACGGTGAGAATAATAAAGCAATTTGTCGCTAATAACACGCGACAGCACCGTGACGATGAAATTTCGAGACGCAACGTGTCGGAGTAACTCGATCCTTGCAACTACGACTAGATGTTACAGCAAACGTGTGTACGTGTCCGTCCAGTCTCCGTGCCTAAAGTTCATGTATCTGCAAAGACATGTATCCATGTCACGACGTAGATCATAATCGCGAGAGCCACGTAGCTATTTCATGCAGATTGCCATGCTTATGCATTTTTACTCGTAACTTCCGTTTACAGGCATCTAAATATTCTAAATTTTTACGATCCTCGGGAAGCGGGAGGAAATACTATATGATAAATATTATCATCGTTCGAAATATGTAAAGTATGAACGCCACGTGTACTTAGCGTTTACTTTGGGTTGTCTCTTCGGTAAATGTTATTTCTTTCGAATTTCTTTCCCGCGATAATTTCGCTGCTCGTTACGCACGGTTTATGCCTAACTTCGATAACGTTCATGCAGAATTAATCGATAGACCACATAGACTTAATCATAGCCACGCGACACCCGTGCGGCCCTCGGGTATCCGCCGTCGGCTTGCATGAAAGCTCGCTTTAATTGAATCACCTATCACCGGCAGGGCGAGTACGCTGCGCGTGCAGCATTTGTACGTCGAGACGACATTCGAGGTGCAAGCGGACGCTGATGATTTGCGTGACAAGGAATAGCGACGCGAGATGTCGTGTTATAACGGTGAATACACATATCTATAAATGACACTCGAAGAATGAGTGAGCCAGAAACAATATTCAGTATCCGATCGAACGCTACATTGTGAAATTTAATTAACTGCGCGGAGCAAAAAAAATCGCAGCTAAGTTACGCGCGTCGAGGTAACAGTGAGATAATATACGCGGGTCCGAATTTATAACAGTAGCCCGGTTACAACTGCTGCAAGTTTAATACTGTTTGAAACTTCGTCTTAATAAAAGTTTGTATTAATTTAAATCCCCTTTACCAAGATATTTAATGTCCACAATTAAAAAGTTGCGTAAATTGCGTCTAATAAAACTGCATTCCGCTCTCTTCCTTTCAAGGAGGAGAACGCTTCTTAATTCGCGAAAGAATTTGTCACGAAAAAATGTAGAATGCATAATAAGATACATATTTATATATGCGTGTGAAAATCTTAATGCGAACTGGAAACCAATTGAATGAATATACGCTCCGACAACCGCCAACCGCATATAATAGCTCGATGAGTTGTGGTGTAACACGTTCCAAGGACGACGTAAAAAAGATAATGAAAATGATACATGTGATGGACAATGCTTTACATTGTTGCAACAAATGTGCCATTTAATATACAATCCCATGCTCCGTGCATGACATTCCAAAATGAAGAAATATATTTACCTCTTTACAATATATTGACTTAGATCGAATGGCATTTCAAATTCGTGTTGTATTATGCATTATTGTAATTTGAGTAAACAAATTTTCTCAATAGAATGTACATTATATATGTACACTGCATCGAATTAATTTCTACTGACTGTTCGCATAATCTACCCGTGAGATAAACAACATAAAATTAATATTAATTTAAACTCCCGTTTCTCTTACTCGCACATTACATATTATATATTACATATTAGAATTAAAATGCATTTCCCAGATGCGATGTCGACGCGAAAATTTTCGATTTCAGTTCCCCACGCCGAGGGGATTTAACGAGGGGGAGTTAATGCACACGTGCGATTTCTACCTGTTCATCGGATTTTCGACATTATACACATGCAAATGGCAAGATGAAATTTAATCGTGGGCGATGGACTCGCGCAACGCCTCCGCGCATGATTAAATTATTTTGATCAGACAGCAAACAGACGGGAGATACGTGTGACGCGGACTTCGCTCACGTGTAAATATTAGGGCGAACAGGTAGTGTGATGGAGGATGCGATCGCACGTTGCAACGCTACGAGAATGCAGCGCGTCGTGTATTCCCGCACGAACGCGGAGCGCGACGCGACGCTTTCGAAATTTTTCAATTCTAGTCTAGGAACGGGTATAAACTTGAAATAAAGGGGAGAACCAATTTCTCCCTTACTTTCTTAAGAAAGTTGGAACGAGAAAGAAAGAAAAGAAATTTCTTATATCCAATTTGTAAAGAAGAGAACCTCCTCACGAGAAAGATCGTAATGTTGCTCGACTCTTAGCACATCGACTACGAAAAATCAGTCGAATAAGTTTCACGTGCGACATTCGCTCAGATTTTATAACGACTCGAATGAACAACGGTATACTGAATGCAAGAGTCAGAACGTAGATTAACACGGAATCCATTGCAAGCGCGATGAAGCCATCGATAAATCCGCAAGTCCAAATCTCGCACTCGAGAGATTACTTTATGGAGGTGCGGGACGTCATTAGGCGGCTGCGACATTACAAGAAATAAATTCGCAAACCGGTTCGAGTGCAATTCCGTGGATCTTCCAGGGATTTAGCGCACCTCGAACGGCATGATGAGCGGCGGCCCCGGACGCGAAATTGCACACGAGGGTGGTGGGCTCACATATACCTGCGATAATTTCGCCAAGCACGATGATTAACGGCCGGGAATCTCAAAAACGCGGCGGCCGTTATCGCGCGCAAAGAACGAGGCGGGCGGCCGTAATAAGTCGTCCATCTCGGGCCGCGATAATTCCGCAGCTGCAACTCCGATAACCCCCGAAATTGATGAAATCGGGCCGGCGCGGCGGGGAGGCGGAAGGGCGAGAGCACACGGCATGCGGCGTAATGCGGAACCGCAGTTTCTAGGAGGAATCCGCGGCGGCCAATAAATTATCCGCTCGAGTACCTACTTTGCCTGGCCGTATCTATCCGCGTGGATAATGCCTGTAGCTGAACACGCTGGGGTTAAGACGAGTGCCCCACTGACTTCGCATCCAGTGGATGCCAATCGTGGCATGAACTGAGCTAGCCGGCGGAGCACCATTTGCCGTTATTTGTTAAGAATAATAGTCTACACGTCTATTACTCTTCCCGCACATTGCTTGTTCCTTAAGATCCCAGTGTAATATCAACTTCAGGTCTGTCCATTGCCTTCGTGGCTCGAGAAACTACGTACCGTATAGTTGAATGAAAAGCCCTTCTATTTTTTAAGTTTAGCTGCAGAACATTTTTGCATTAAATTTTCGGACTGATTAATATATGCATCTGAATTTCCCTCTTAACTACTGATAATGTTATCATCAAATCATTATTTATACAGCACCACATTTGATGCTAGAATTGATTTCCTATTTCATGAAGTAATACGTAAAACTGATTTTTTTTACTATATCTGGTATTTTTAGAAGACGACCGCCTAGAGTGTAGGAAAGTTCAAACCCTGACTGAGGTAATATTTTTCGCAATAAACTTTCTGTATTAAAAATGCCAGGTATGGTCAAGAAAACACTGACGTTGTTAATTACTGCTGGCGACATTAAAGAATATTCTTATTAGTTGATTTTTTGGTCAGATTAAAATTTCCTATTTTTATGTATCCTAAAAATCGAAAAAAGAAACACTTGCGCAACAAAAAGCTCGATATACAAACGTATATATCGCCAAATTAAAGCTGATTAAAACTATCCCAGTTAATTGCGAGCAATAAAGCTGGAAGCTAGCGTAAATAACGCTTATTATAAATCCAAAAGCGATATTCTGTGATTAACCGCATAAATATTTAACAGTTTCGACGACGATTATCCCATCGTGTGAAATCTTTGCGAAAAGAGAATATTTTTTTAAATGTGCGTAAAGTTTTGCATTTATCATCACAAGGTACACAATGACGCGTTAATAGGTACTTCTTCTTGAGGATCTTAGCTTAGCGGGATCTATAGAATTCCGGTAACAACTATTGTCCTCTTGAGCTAATAGTTCATCTACTGCGAGATGCGAAAGTTTCGAAACTAGATAATCGGCGCTCTGGGTGGCACGATAAACGCATCTGCGCGATCATATTATGTCTGTGATTACTGTGAACTTCCAGATTTGTATGAAAGTTCATCCGATATATATTATACATGTATAAAACGTGAATTAAGTAATTCTACCCTCACAACAGAATAACGCTAATCGTATTCATTCACATGAAAAAAAAAATTGTACCGTACAAATCTCGAATTTTCCATTTTTCATGAATTATTTAATTAAAATATGTATTTATATTTTGTAATATTAATCATACGTAGGATAACTCTGAATTCTCGCGTAATTCTCTCTTCTATTGTGGATCCTTTTCATCGCCATCAAATATCTCTAATAAAAGCCCTTAATATACGACTCGACAATATTGCAGTATCATATTCTCGCTTTGCAGGTAATATCCGAATATTGTCAGACGCGTCTACAAGCAAGGCCCTTCACGCACATAGTAATGGAGATGTATCGAGAGGTTGTGAAGTCGCCGCAACATGCGCGGAAACGAGCAGTCCACTATCAGCTGAATGCCCTGTGCCCTACACGGAACATGGTCGAACAACTGAATCAGCAAAAGACACTCTACAGTCTTCCGCAACGACAGCAACAGGATTACATCCAAGCTATGAATGGTCAACCGCTATCTTTTCAACATCAGCCTCGTATGGGGCAATATTTGTCAAATCAATTAACTGTTCAACAACGGCAGCAGCAACAACAACAACATAATCATGTTCAACGTCCGATCAATCAATTTCGCTCGCTTCAACAGCAACAGGATCACGCACAGCAGTTACTGAAAGACCAGCAGGATCATGGTAGTCATCATTACAATCACCAGCACGCAAAAGGGACACATTTCAGGACACAATCGCGCAATTCCCAGTCGCATCCTAATCTAACGAGTTTGTGCGACTCGCAGCAGCAGCAGCAGCAGCAGCAACAGCAACAGCAACAGCAGCAACAACATCGGGAGACCGCTCTCAGTGCCTACAGGGCGCACTTTCAATCGCAGCTGGATATCCAAAGCGGTAGCCGATCGATAGGCCCAGCGACGACACGTCGGATCCACCATCACTCGAGGACGTATTCGCAGCCGGTTTACACGCGGCTTCAACACACCAGGAGTAGCGGCAATCTGCCGACGGCGACGAGCGCGATGGCCGACGGTAATCCCGATGGGAATGTTTACAACGATCCGATATATGCCCTGCCGGTTAAGCCCTTTCTGAGCTCCCAGGATGTGCGAGTCAACGGACTGTCGGCGAAAACCCACGCGATCTGTCACGGCGACGAGGTTTACGGTGGATCGGCATCGATAAACAGGTACGTGCGGGATATCGTTCGCATACTTACTCGCGCCAGAGGACTAATCGATTTTTTATTAAACAATAAAGACCCATCCCGATCGAAATGGCCTTCCCTATGTGCTTGTGCCAATCGTTTTATTCATAATTTAACTTCTCACAATTTATGCAACCTATACTCTTTACACTTGTTATAATTTTTTAACTTGCGATGATAAGAACAAATTTTGAGATGAAAGAGATTTAATTTCTTTTTAAGTTTATCGTAAGCGTGAATTGTAAAAATAAAAACAGTGTTATAGATTCTGTAAAATAGTTTTTCGTTACAAAGCAAAAAACATTGAGAGAGAGAGAGAGAGAGAGAGAGAGAGAGAGAGAGAGAGAGAGAGAGAGAGAGAGAGAGAGAGAGAGAGATATTACATTTAAATGCGAATATTCTAACGAAGTTAAAGTCGTTCGGCCGAAATAATCGTCAGAAACTTAAGAAAATAATTACAATTACTTCTAATCTAATGTATCTTATTTTCTGCAATACCGCTTGCTTATTCTGAAAACAAATTTGCTCTGAAACAGGCACCCTTCGAATACCGGTCGCTCTCAGCCCGACGTAACTACGCAGCCAAATGAACGTCTTCGCGAAGATGTATACGGACGAACTCCTTCGGAAAGGGTGCTTCTGCAAAGGCAACACTCGAATCCGCAGCTGCCGAGCAGAACGCAAGCTGACGAAGATTTCAAGCGATTGTCGCAACCGAGCGTCGCGACGGCCGAGCCTCGATGCGTCGGCGTTGCTCGAAAAGAAGAACAGACGATACGGCAACAAAATTCAACAACTTCCGTAAAACTAAGGGGGATCCAGGGACCCCCGAAGCCACCTCGAATTATCACCACCTTAAGGAAAACCGCTCTCTCCGATTCGGAATGTAACAGCCACACGGAGCCGCCGGCAAAGCCTCCCAGGTAGTTTTTATTTCCTATATTACAATCAATTATCCGCGTCAGTTCACACCGTAATGTGTTATACATAAACTTTCTATCACGATGAAAGAGAGAAGAAAGTAGGATGTTCGTCGGAGAATTGAGCAACAAATTGCGCGTTATTAGAGAAAAGCATTCAATCCCGATGCAATTTGTTATTTCGAATCGTTACAAACCATCCGAGCTAGCCGATAAAATTTTAATCAATAACCAATTTCGTTTAGAGTGAGAAAAAAAGAAAGAGAGAAAAGGGTTTCTAGTAGTACTTCCGTTCTTTAATTAAATGTCCTTTTATTTAGCATTTCCCCGAACGGAGAAGTAAAAAAGATCTCGTAAGAGTTTAGAGGTCCCTTAAAACCCACCAATATACCACATTTAACACCGTACGTGCGAGACCGAGTAACTTCGCAATTTTGTATAACGATAATGTCGGATTACGATTAATTCAGAAATTTATATTTTCACTTTGAGACTCACACTTTCTCTGCCGGAATTTCATCGATATTACGAGGACGGGCGTTTCGGAGGCAAATGAGGACATAAGGGGGGCGTGAAACAGTTTCGCGATCTTCATGCGCGACCCGCATTATTAAGTTTTGCCACCCAGTCGTATGTTCGTGTTAATAAGCGCTTACGAAGTTCTCTCCAGCAGAGAGACGCGTTAGAGACAATTTTCCACTGACGTATTATGGTTTCGAACAGTTCGGGATACGCTCGGAGCATGTGAAATCAACTGAATGATGTAGCTAATTGCAATCGAATGTATGTCGATCCTATGCTTTCCTGTCGGAAAGGTCGAAACACGGCACGCAGCAACAACCTTTGACCCTTGTGAGAGTACGGAATTCTAGATTTTATACTGACATTTAGTCGAACGGAAATAAAACAAAAGCGCGTAGTTCGGAAATTAATACAATTTTTGTTGTAACTAGAAAATTATAAGTCGGAATCAATAGACGATTAAATTAAAATTGTCTACCGTCTCCGGCAAAACAATTTCTGATGCAAAATATTCACTGCAATGATTTTCAATGCAAGCATTCAATCTTGAATAACATATTATAAAATCGTTTATATTAATAATAAATTTTGTTCATAAAATGTTGATAAATATTCAATCTTTTTCATAAATTTTCAAGCAATATCTTTTGACTCATTTTTCTGTATTTCTTTTTAAAAAATCTAAATAAATCCAAGTATTAGAGGAAAGTCCCCTATTATGAGATAGATTCTAATATGGGATAACGGGGTTTCTGTTACATTAATCAGGCATCATCGGTTGATTCCACTACGAATTTATTGCCCTTGGAGCAAAATCTGTTCAGTGGAAGATTCATTGTTAGTTTATGTAATCGTTGCGAAAAAAGATATGTAATTGAATTTGGGTGTTGAAAACCTGCTACCGCATATTAGAAACCTATCTCATAATAGAGGCCTTTCCTCTAATAATAAATGAAACTTTGTCTAATTATACGTGATTCTCACAAGTGTGTCATCTTTGGTCGAGCTGAATCTTTGTAGCTCAATATTTTTGCGTGAATTTATAGGTACACTCTTTTCTATTCGTACTACGCGCCGATTATTTATCGGTCTTGAAACATGTTTCGTTGGAATAGTAAATTTAACATACTTAAATCGATAATCGATAAAAAAAATTTAAACTTTATGATGTTAACAAACATTCTTTAAATCACTATATAAAGAATTTATCGCGAATAATATCACCCCAGTTAGGGGGATATTTTTCACACTTTTACGCAGTAAATTCTTTACAGTTGATTTGACAAAAAATTAAATCAATTTTATTATGTTGAATTTACCATTCCAAAAATGATCAAGAACAAAAAATTTCACGACCAATGTAAAATAATCGGCACGTGGTAAAATGGAAAAGAGATATCTATAAATTCACACAAAAAATGTTACCCACCTAAGCTACAAAGATCTAGTTTGACCGAAGGTAGCACATTTATATTTACTTATGTAAATGCAAGAATGTTCTCTTGTTCTATTTTCACAAATCTGTGCTATTCTCTCCCATGGCAGGGATACCTCATTCCTAACGTGTTGTAAAAACTGACTCGGCCTCGCGAAAACGATTTTTACCTCAACGTATTTTTGCTGCGCCAGGTTTTCGGTGTAAACGATTGAAGATGGAAAGAAGAGAGGGACAGGAAAAGAGAAAGACAAGGAGGCACTTAGCGATGACTGCCCTAAAAAAGCATCCGCAGTCTACTCCAGTTAAAGTTTAATTAAACTTGGTGCGATAGAGTTCGTTAACATCGCCGTATATAGCAAGATTACGTTCTACGTGCTGTCTGTGAAATTTTGCCATAGGCGTTTCGGTTCGCTGCATAATTAGGTGCATCGCGGTATGTTATGCCGAATGAAAATCTCTGCTTAGCTCGATCCATATTAATCACGCGGCCACAAAAAAAAAGATGGCAAAAACGAAACCAGCCTCTTCAGCGTCAGCTCGCCGTTAACCGATTACATTTGACTTATACTATATAAATTTATGGTGTTTTTATATTAAAGTACACAATTGTGATACTTCATCTGTTGTAGTTAAAAGAATCGAATGAATATATTTTCAGAACAATGGTGAGGAACGGGCCCAGAGCTCGGCGGGGAAAAGCAGTTCAGAGAGCACCGTCGCGCTTGTATAGAGCTGTAGGTGGACCCGCTAGATGTTTCAATAAAGCGCAATGTGTTGGGCCTGAATTTGTGGTTCGCGCCAATCAGCCCCCGAAGACATTATGCGTGGGACAAGTCAAGGTACGAAAATTAAAGTAAATTGATCATAATGCGTGAATAATTAAAATTAAATAAAATAATTAGATTAAATAATTATTAAATAATTAGACGCGGAATGTAAATCCTTTTGAACATAAAAATGCCTGATACACATTTACCTTTTATTTTTAACTTCCAATTATTGTAAATTCTAAATTATTAAAATCACACGCGCAAATTATATTTTATATAATATATAAATCATTTATAATAAAAAACGAAATATTATTAATGGAAATGTTCAAAATCTTTTGCGTTTAATCTTTATCCATTTCTCATGCATTAATTTAAAACGAAACGATTTAATGCGAAAAAAGATAGAAAGAAAATTTTAAATAATTCATGAAATGGGTAAAAAATTAAATACGTGACTTTATTATCAACGTAATTTTATATAGAGTTTCACGAAGCCCGAAAAAAAAATTCCGGTACCGGGAATCGAACCCGAGCCTCCTGGGTGAGAGCCAGGTATCCTAGCCACTAGACCATACCGGAGATGGTATGGTGTTTCTGCTATAAACCATCACTATCATCCGACATTCAATTTATAAATTATGTAATATAAATTCATTTAATAATTACTAAAAATAAAACTGTTAAAAAATGACGATAAAATATTCTCAAAAATATGACTGCAAAATATATTCCGGTACCGGGAATCGAACCCGAGCCTCCTGGGTGAGAGCCAGGTATCCTAGCCACTAGACCATACCGGATCACGGTGGACGATCTCTAAATACTGATGACAACGCATATGAAAGTGACTATATTTTTAGAAAATGTATTATTGCATATTATGTTACTGAAATGTAATATGTAATATATATTAGATGCTCAATTAATAAAACAGTATTCACGCGTTATTAATTACACTGTACTATTATTTAATATTTTAATTATTTATAAATATAGATCAACTTATTGTGTATTATTCGAAATATTAAATTCGAAGCATTAAATAAAACAATAAAAAAATATGTGGTTACAAATTAATAAAGCAAACATTTAAATTTATTGTTAAAATAAAATCGAAATAATATTTATCAGCATTGCACAATGCTTAGTAAAAATTAAAAATATTAAGAATGAAAAAAATATTCCGGTACCGGGAATCGAACCCGAGCCTCCTGGGTGAAAGCCAGGTATCCTAGCCACTAGACCATACCGGATTGAAGACCAGGAGGCTAAAGTTCATATATCCATGTGCTATCAAAAATATTGTAATTTTTGTCGTAAAAAGAGATACATAATAAGCAATTATATTGTATAAATATGAACTTTTTTTTACAAAATATAATACGAAAGTTACTATCAATTTTATATAATCAAATATTATTATGCGATTACCCAATATAAAATAAGATTTATATTTGTTGAATACAATTAATATTAATTTAAAGTACAAAAAAATAAGTCGCTGATGTTAATTTTTTTACTCAAAGGACACGAAAGTTCTGAAATTATATTAAAATAATAGATACTGTCTGCACATGGCCACGTACACAGTTAAATTGAGCGGTAATTATTAATTGGTCTTAATAATAACTATTTCCTATTTTAAAATATATAATTATTTAATTTTCAGGATATAAATGAAACATTTAGATATTATATCTATTTTAATTTAATAGCTTTATCACTTTCTGCTTCTACAGCTAAAATCTAAAATTTATATTAACAAAAATCATATTATTTATTACTTTATAAATTTGTTTGCATCAAAATTTCAATGTACCATTTTTATTTTTGCTAAATATAAATAAAAAAAATTCCGGTACCGGGAATCGAACCCGAGCCTCCTGGGTGAAAGCCAGGTATCCTAGCCACTAGACCATACCGGATTACGGTTAGGGCACATCTTAAGAACGTACTTCTACCTACATGAAAATAAAATGGGGTGAAAAGAAAAGATATTCCGGTACCGGAAATCGAACCCGAGCCTCCTAGGTGAAAACCAGATCTCCTAGCCACTAGACCATACCGGATCTTGGTATCGCCGCGCAATTTGACTGTGTGCGTACAGACGGCTTTGTACAGACAGCACCCATTATTTTAATTTACATTATTTTAATATAATTTCAGAACTTTCGTATCCTTTGGGTAAAAAAATTAACAACAGAGATTTATTTCCTTGCACTCTAAATTAATATTAATTGTATTCAACTAATATAAATAAAAATGTTTTATAGTTTCGTGTCTCATATTGTTGTATAAAATATATTTGTAATTTATAATTTCCATAAAACGTTAGTATTAAAATAATATTAGAGATGTATAATATTATTTATGTCATACGTAAAATAAATAATTCCACATTTGTTGTGAAGAAATTTAGCATTTTCTTTTATGCAAGAGAAATGGACGTAACAAATAAATATTTATATCAACATAAAATTGTAGAAAGAAAAATAGAGAGAGAGAGATATGGGATGATATGATGGTAAATTAATATGCGTAGGCGAGCAACTCTGGTCGGATAGTCGTAATAATGCTAACAGGACAACGCGTGGAGGTAACCTGTGATCCTCAAAAGGTCACCGCCGGGGATTTATTCCAGGTAAGCTCATTAACAAAGAATCAAAGTGCACTAAACTCGTTATTTTCCCATGAACCATGTTAAAATAATGCACATTTCAAACAAAAGATAAAAAAAAGAGAAAATCGGATATTTCACGTAGCTTGATCAATATTCTCAAAAGATTATCAATGAAGAGATTATCTAGACCAATGACATTTTTCAAAGTTTAAAGTTCGAGAGTAATTTCAAACGGCTGAAAACGTTAATCTTCATTTGTGATGTCGTTCGTAGCACGATCATTATTTCATTGATAGTCATTCGCAAATGGCATTTGTCTGCAAATCAATCATACAATTAATGACTAATGCTTTTACACTGTCAAACTTGTAATACGTGAATCCGAAAATAATAAAGAAATAATAAACATCACCTATTTAAAACAACGTAATACGTGCAAATGTAAATTAATCAAATTAAGTGACATATTTCGGAAATCAGTTCTCGGTGTTTTTCTTTAAATTCTGTATCTCGTGTTTTATCGTACATATCTGTTCCATCGTAAAATTCTTTTCTGTGAAGTTTCTCAGAACGCTAATAAATTGTATCACCCATAAGTGAAATATATATCTTGATGTCTCGCGAGAGCACGGTGAAAAAATTACTTTTCATTTGCTGCACACGCGGAAGAATGTATCCTGCCGGTATATGTCCTGACAAAAATCCTTTAAAAAGTATACCTTGTCCGCTAGTTCTCAAGCGGAACTGGTTCGATTGTAATGCTCGCGCGACGGTGGCCTCTGAAAGCCACACTTAGGCCGCGAAAGCCAAGACATGGCCGGTTGTTTACGAGACCACAAATTCCGGCGTGAACTCGCGAGAAGTTCTGGCGAGCCGCCAAGCCTAATCATTATATACGACAGATCCACAAACCACGAGTTATGTGATCTCGACGACGAACGTATCGCGCAATTCCTTCTTCCATAAAAATCTACGTTTCGACATTTGTTCAAATCCAACATTACAAAGAGAAACTCTTCTCGTAGTATCGTCAATAAAATGATGGACCAAAAAAATCGATTGGCAATATTATTTCGAATTATTTGTAGGAGTATTAGAAATAAAATAAAATTATGTAAACTTCAAAACACTTCGCTATGTTTTAATAGCCAGTGCTTTTAAAATTTGCATAGCTTATATGTAGAACGCGTACCGAGCTTCTGTTTTATGAAAATGCTGAATTACAAAAGTGGAGCAAGAGAATTTGGTAGTATTTAATTTCACTAGTCTAAAAAGACAAGTCTGTGTGCTTCAAGCTCTTCCTGTCACTGTCCATCTACCACTTAATTCAAGCTTTTGAACGTGACCGGAGTATTTTATCGTGCAATTTTTAATAAATAGTCGATTTAAAGAGCGCCGAAAACTCGAGAGCTCACTGGGAACTTCCAAATTGGATTACTCCTGCAAATTCGTGCCAATAGAAAATTACCTCTGCGGTAGAAATGCGTATCGTGTCGCGCTATAATAATCTTTTGGAACAATCAAATGCACACCCGTGCTCTCTGCATTTAATTGCTTGTCTCGCATAATAATTCCATGCTAAATCGTAGCTTACAGACAGAGCTTTCCCTCTCACGTGTCTTACATAGATAAACAGAAACGCAAATCGAAAATACAGAACTAAGTATCAAATTTATGCCATTAATTTACAGTAAAAATTGATATATAAGAAATCTTTATGTCAATAAACTTCTTCATGTAATCATGTGTCATCAACAGTGTTAAAGCTATTATCAGTTAAACCAACATATATAGACTTGACCGATTTCAGAAAGGTTTACTATATGTACAATATATTTTATGCATTATACACGCAAATCCTTCCAGGCTATTGTTCAAGCGGAAAGTCTCGATGAAAACTTCACTCTAGGATTGGCCGTGCTATTGGCCGGGGATTTCGCGATGTTACCACCCGACACGAAATTGAATAAAGTCGCACCACCAGGGTGGTTAAGCAGCGGTAAAAGCAAAGGTTTGCTGGGTCTACCGACTAGTTTTATGCTGTATCTGCGACTCCGATTCTTCCTGCCATCTCTTCGTGGCACCAGGTTCGTTCGAATCAGACAACGATAACACGTTCGACTCGACTAGACTCGTTCGTTTTGTCACGACTACGACTAATTTGCCAAATAATTTTCAGAAGTTGGATATCAAAGCATCTGCTATATCTGCAAATAAGGCGTTGTATACTGGAGCAGCAGCTGGTCTGCCCATATGCCGAATTAATCAATTTGACGGGTCTCGCACTTCAAGCTGAATTCGGGAACTACAACGTCAACGTGAGTTAACGAGTGATTCATACGATGCGCGCTATTTGAAATGAGATTACCGTCACAATACGGAAGAATAAAACGTTCAAAAGTGATCGTTAAGCTCTAGATAATAGGGATTAAGTGAACTGAGAGAAGCTGTGGCACCACAGATAGAGAATATTTTGCGGTTCTGCAAAAAGTCTACATTCTTCTACCTCACAATGTTAAACTTGATTTCATTGTCGAACATTTTCTAAAACGACGAATTCTAAAGTTTAAGCGTAAAATAGATTTTAAAAATAAATATTGTACAATACGCATTCCAGAATTAACTTGCATTACATGCTTTCTAAATTAGATGTTAAACGTAAAAATGATATATTTTTACAATAACGGTATTGTGTATTCCACAATTTCTATGCTAAATTATCAAATTGGTACGTTCAACGTATCAATATTAGAGATTAATAGTCGAGTCAGTCTCTCAACAGCTTAAGCGAGTAGTCAAATTGACATTACATCGATATGTTGCGGCAGAGTTGACAACAATTCTGACATAATCCATGCGCGACTTCTCTGCTTCATCAGAGCTATTGTTATATCCCACAGGAGCACGGCTGTGGAGATTACTTCCTCCTCGAGCACTACGTGCCGGAGTCCTTGATATTGAACGCGGACCGGCATCAATCGCAACCCTGCGTCGACGCCGATACACTTCGGGCGCAGCTACACCGCGCTCACCGCGACCGCCGTGGCTTGGACTCGAACAAAGCCGAGGAGATGTTCATAACTCACGCGCAGTCCCTGCCGGATTACGGCTCGCACTACTACATCGCCACGGTAGACTCCAAGGAGCTGGAGAAACTGATGGTGCGGCAGAGAAAGGGAAAGAGCGCCGTGTCGGACAACCGCGACGGTGCGGGAAACGCTCGTCGCCAGGAAAAACCCACCCGGGAGACCTGTCCCGCTTATGGCAAGATCGGGATCCCGCGACTGGGCTCTCGTGAAAATGTGCCGATGATACCCTACTCGGACGAGCACGCGAAGAACGCGGGCTTGCGCCGCGACGAAACGTGCAATAACAGTAACAACAAAAACAACAACAACAACAGTATTAATAACGTTAACGGTAATAACAGTAAGAACAGTAAGGGCAACAAGAGAAAAACGGAGAGCAACGTGTGGCTGGCGATTCATTCTCAAGGCTTGAAGCTGCTGGAGCGAGGGGGCGAGCCGAGGGAGAGAACGGAACTGGCCCACTTTCAGTGGCGGGATGTGCAGACAGTGAGTTACAGCAAGAGTTGTTTGGTGGTGTACAGCAAGCTGAATGGGAAACGATGCAAGTTCAAACTGCGGATGGATCATCGAAAGTAAGTTTCTCGCCAGGATTTCGCAAGTCTCTTAATGGGCGGCGAGCACTCGAAAGTGCCGTGCGTATCGAGTGCCTCATTGTGCACTGTGCCGCCACCTTGCAACAACGACCTTTGCATAAAATATCTTTCTATTTTCTAGAAGTTACTTCGCCTTCAAGCTCACCTCCCTGCATCATCAGTTCTTCGTCAGACTTCGCTCGGAGCTCACGTCGCTCCAGGGCCTCGCTAAAGGTACACGTGCTCTTTCCTACCGATTAAGCTTGCTGAAATGTTTTAAACTTGAACTTTCCACGAAAGTTACGCGATAGGGAACTATCTAAATTGTGACACTTTGTCGCACGGATTTTGATCCTCTTCTATGGAAATCTACTTAAAACGTAAATATCGCAGAAAATTGAACTAAAATTCAACTGAAATTTCCGCAAAATACAATGTTTATATTAATAGTCTGACGGAACCTATTAAACGCAGAAACCTCTTTCAAATCTAATTTTTAATTTCAATCACTACTGCTAGTTTCTCGATTGCGTTTTTTTACTTTTGTTAGAATTTGTTTTATAGATACAACAACAAATGTAAATAAAGTTTAGGAGACTTCGAAAATTTTTGAAACGTTATTCCTTTAAAAAATTCATATGAAGATATCCAGGATAAAATCAATTCATATTATTTTTCAGATTTTGGAGTGCCTCTGACAGAAGCGAAACCTACACAATTAAAGTCCAAGATCGTCGATGGTAAAACTAAGATAACGATCGCGAGCGTGGTTAAAGCGCAGCAGAGAATAAATTATCCGATGCAGCTGGAAGAATACCAAAATAAGGAGAACGAAAATCCTCAGAAAGACACAATTGTAGTAACTTCAACGAAGGACGCTGGTCGCGAACCCGGCTTCTACTCGTCCGAAGAAGATGTTCTTTACGCACAAGTAAACGTGCGATTAGAACCAGAGGGTCAATCACGCGACACAGAGGAGGAATCGGAAAGAGGCTTAACGGCACCGCACAAAATCTTGGAATCCAAAGAAACGAAATCGGAGAACGACAAACTTTATGGCTGTCCCGGTCTAGAAAGTGAGATTGAAACCGACTGCACATATTCCTTCCCAAAAGTTATATCGAACAACCAGTTAGATAAACCTAACAACCCCGAAGAACTGTACGCCGCTATTAATAAAGTTCGTCTGTCGGGAAAGAGCGAATTTCCTGTTCCGGACGAAGTTTGGAATGTGTCAGATGTCAAGAAGACTTTGCAAAAGGTCATTTTATACATAAATTTTTTACCATTCTCTCATTACTGTTAGAATACATCTAACAGCAGATTCTACCCGAATTTGCTGTTAAACTTTCAACCCAAGATTATATTTCGTAATATTGATCTCGTGTTTCTGCTTTTAACGAAGCGACGTTATCACTTTAGATGAAAGCGGCCAGTCTACCGAATTACGGTGCGCCGAGGCAGTCGGGTGGTTTTCGTACGCCTAGCCTCCCGCGCCGGGGTGTGAAAATGGGAACGCGAGCGATTTACAGCAGCTTGGCCCAGAAAGATACCGCGCTTACCGACGACACGGAATCACTATCTCTAAAGTCCGATACCGAGTCGTCCGTTCAATCGCTATCGGCACGATCTGCCGAATCGCCCATGCCAGAGGCGTATGTGCTGAGTAAGTAATAGTATAAAAATATATTTTATGAATTCTCTTTGTATAAAAATTAAAGTAGTTCTAATTAATTGTGCAATTCAAAATGTTGCTTCTAACGACATTGCAATCAGATGAGTTTTACACAGTCCAAACAAAAAAATCACGTTTCGATACAAAAATGTTCTCACGAAGATTTTACAACACCATCTAATCAAACGTTATTCTCGAAACAAATAAGATAGTTGAAGCGCTGCTTTACCATCGCTGTGTGCGGACAATTTTTCGCTACTTTTACTCTATCAAAATTGTATGCGTTATTTACATTGATTACAAATATCGTGGGGGTGTTTTATTTAAAATCCGTTTGCTTTTTGCTTCGATAGATGCAGATATACGAACCAATGACGAAACATTCCGGATCCCGGAGGACGAATCGATATCCGTATCCTTGATGGCTCGTTTGGAAGAGCTGTCGTTCGCCGAGGAGCGAATTTTGCACACGATCAAGTTGGAACGCGGTCACGGTGGTAGCATAGGTTTGCAAGTGATGGAGGGTAACGACGGTGGCGTTTATGTTCAGGCAGTCTCCGTCGGCGGATCAGCCGATATGGCCGGAAACGTAAATAAAGGTTCGTGAGTAAAATGCTCGCGTTGCTTCAAAACGGAAAGCACCTAATTCATTCGCAGTAGAGATTAGTTGAAATTACAATCAACTGCAATACTGAACTGAATAAACCGAGGGAAAAAAACGACGCTATGAGATATACAAATAAATAAAATGAATTCGAATTAGAAAACAACGTAAAGAGATATATAACTAAAAGATCTCCGGTTAAATTTCCTTCCATAGGTGACCGGATCGTAGCAATAAACGGACAGAATCTGCTGAACCTTCGTTACGAGGAAGCTCTGAAGATGTTGCAGAGCTCGTCTGAAACGATCGAGTTGGTTCTCTCGCAGCCCGCTATTCGTAAAAGCATGGAATCGAGAAATGACCAGGTCCAGGGTTCTGTAGAAAACAATTACTTACAGTGAGTACCTATTTCCAACCGATATTTAACTTTCAACCGATAGTTTAGCAATTTACCAAAACAATAAACAATTGCAAAGCAAATTTCGAATAGTTTCGGATAAATCAGACTGAAAATGCAGCGCTGTCCGCTCCTTCCGATTCAAATGTCAATGCGACTGATTGATTTCGCGAATCAATCAATCTTTACAAATCAAAATCCGCAGGGTTAACTCTTTCGTTCTCTATCCCGTCCGCAGTGACATCAAATTCGACGTGTCGTCGGAGGCGGAAACATCTAGCATGATGAACAAGTGGATCGTTCAAAAAACCATGGACGTAGCGTCGGTGCAGAACACTTCGAGCGCATACAGCAGCGCAGCATCCAGCGCTATGGGCAATCATAATAACGCCAACAGCCTATACATGACTGATCTCGTTGACAATAACGCGTTAAAGTCTGCCAGCATGCTGCTGTCTATAGAAGATTTCGACGTCAGTAGAACAAGTCGCCAAGTTTTCATTTAGGTAAGTAAAGTATCTATATAATCTGCGTATATACAGGGTGCTAGAAAACTAAGTGCCATAAATTTGTGTGATAAAAGAATAGACGAGTCCAAGCATTTTAAGTATAGGAACCATGGTTCGGCGACGTTTTATTACGGCGTGATGGGCGTTTCATTAAATCGTCACAACGTCTGCGACGCAATGATTTTATTTCGTCAATTTTATATATGTATTTACAATAACTGTTCAAAGTTACGACCTCCAACGTTCCGACAAGTCACAGCAACGGAGCAATGACTGCCGCGTTCTTTGGAATATTCCAGGCATGTGTCGGATGATTTCAGATGCCTCTATGATGCGAGCGACCAGATCCTCCTCGGATTCGACTTTTTCAGAATAAATCATATTTTTCATTGCACCCCAGAAAAAGAATTCGAGAGGCGTTAAATCTGGTGACCTTGCAGGCCACGTCACAGGTCCACCCCGTCCGATCCACCTGCATTGCAGGAGTTGTGACGATTCAATTAATCGCCCGTCACGCCGTAATAAAACGTCACCGACCCATGGTTCCAGTACTTAAAATGCTTGTACTCATCTATTCTTTCATCACACAAATTTATGGCACTTAGTTTTTTAGCACCCTGTAT